ATATTTATTAATAATTTATATTAATTAAAATATAATATAAATAAATAAAAAACAGAAAATAAAATGAATAATATATATTTATTAATAATTTATATTAATTAAAATATAATATAAATAAATAAAAAACAGAAAATAAAATAAATAATATATTAATTAAATTTTTTTTAAATAATAATAAAATAAAAAGTAATAATAACAAAAGGACAAAAAAACACAAAAACCCATAAAAAAATCAACTTAAAACCTACTTAGGGGTGCCAATGGTAAACCCATAGTGGTCCCATTAGCCTCCCCCTAAGAAGGCTTACAAGGTCTAGCTCACCTAAGGCCACCATCATGGTCTAAGTCTCGTGAAAACGGGACAGTTTCATGTCGTCCCAAGTCTACAATGTTAATACCAAATGGAAAATCTTATAATAAATACAATGTCAAATTTGATACATAATGTATTTCTTTAATGATGGCAAAAGTCTTAAAATAAATACAATACTTTGCTAATTGAACGTTCTCATGTTTGATATTGGTAGACTAAATGCATGCCTACTTGTTAATATCATCCTCACAAACATCAACATCAAATAATCCTTTTTTGTAAAAGCATCAACATCAAGTAATCCTTTTTTGTAAAAGCAAAGGGCTCTTGCTATATGCACACCCATATAAATCAAAATAAGATAATATCATACATTGAAAATGTAAAAGGTAAATCTTGAATTTGATGTACGTATGTTAGGAGAGGAGGCTATTAGTAGATAGGTGTGCATTGCGAGAGGAGTGGTCAAAATAGTTGGAAACCAGAAAAATCCAAGACAAGAAGAAATGATAATGTTCCTAGTCACAGAAAAAAGGGACCGCCCTTTTATCATTTCAAAAGATGAAACATACCCAAGTCTTGGTCATTATGCTTTGTTCTTCCTAGAATCAAAACCAACCAACTTGGGGGTACACCAGACCAGACCAGACCATGGACCCTACAGCCTACCACTAGTCCTGTAAACCTTTCAACAACATCTAGATCAAGGTATCATAAACCATACCAGAAAAAAGGAACCCTTTACCAGCATTGGGTTGAAGCTCAAAACAAGAGAGACCAATAGTAAAAGATCAAACACCATCATGAGATTGAAATATATCATCCTTCATGCTGCAGCTGTTGTTGGTGGTGGGTGAAGAAGAGTTGTTTATGATTTGATTATGCTTTTTAGAAGAGCCCTTGCAAAGATTAACTGGGTACTTATTAGCATTGATTTCCAGTTTTCTAAGTGCAGCTTTACCAAGATCAACACCACATATATCTGATAGCCTTACTAGATACAGCAACACATCTGATAGCTCCTCCCCAAGGTGTTGTTTTTCTTCATCTTCCCAATCAGGAAGTCCTCTTGCTACCTCGCCTTTCCATTGAAATATCTCTGACAACTCTCCAACCTCTCCTACCTGAAACACACACACAAACGCAATTTCACATTTTTGCTAACCATTCTCATCCTGTATTTTTCATGCTTTCAAAAACGGGAATTTACAATCGCAAGCTTTTTTTTGCATCATTGAAATCCGGCTTTCCAAGTCCAGACCCAAAAAAGCCCAAGCCATGTGCATCTCTAGCTTGCTCGTCAACGTCGGGTTGTACACGAAACCCGACTGCTATGCAACCTTGCTACATATTGAAAAGAAAAGACTGTTTAAAGTGATAAAGTGTGTTTTCTTTTTCAGAACATTTTAATGGCTTTAACTGGTATGGAACACTTGTTGCTAATTCTCTCCCAGTTCAAGGCATTAAAGTAAGAACAGTACTGACTGTTCATTGAAGCTGATGATGCACTCTCTACCATAACATATAGAGGATACTGCCACAACTGATACTCTTTCTAGAAGCTACTCACACATATTGGTCATAAGATAAATTATATATAGGAGAAATAAATTTAAACTACATAGCAAAGAAACATTAACCCACTTTAAAGTGGTCCTACACCAACCAAACTGGACTACCTTTTCCAGGCAGGGTCCTTTTCACAGTAGCAGAACAGTGCCTGCTTGGATTACCCCCAAAGATTTACCACAAATGGTAAAGTCCTTTAAAGATGTTCTGTTCAATGTTGAGGAATACATAAAATCAAGCCAGGCTCTATGTATCTTTGCCAAACATTAGGTTTAATTACATCAGCCCATCAATGTTAGTCTAAATTAATCTTTAATGGGCATCAATAATAAGATCATATAGCAGCACTACATATTATTTAAGTTGGATAAATTTTTGGCATCTAATTTCTGATCTTATAATACTGCAAGTAACTATTAGATCATCAATCTCTCTTACCTCATATTTGGTGCAAGCACCTTTGGGTAGATTAGTATTTAATTAGCATCAATAACATCATATGGGAGTATAACATATCATTCAAGGTGAAGGTTATGGAGTTGACATATAATTTCTGATCTTGTCATAAGCAGTTATTTTAGTGGATCAAGCACCCTTCTTTCCTAAGCTTAGACATGACTTGGGGTACATTACGCTACATGGTTCCAATGCAAGAAATTATCATATACATGAATCAACATCGACCATCATAACAGTTTTCAGTACTCATTTAGTCATTTGACAAACTGCTCAACTCAACTAAGGGGCCGTTTACCCAAACACTTACCTGGTAAGAGCTTACCAGTAAAATCAACACTCTCACTTAACTTACCGGGCAAAATTCTAGTCCATCAAAACGGAAGCGTATGCAATAATTTACCCGGTAGCACCAAACTGGGTAAGAGTTTGTCACCCTCATTTAGCGGATAAGACTTTGGTCCTTGCCATTGCTCTTACCGAGTAAGATTATGTCTCTGTGATGTTCATCTGGTAAGCACTTACGGTAAGTGTTTACCAAAGGGTCCCTAAATCAGAAACTACTACTCGACTTGATTCGAGTAATACTAAAAAGGGGTTATTTTATCAAGATGTCAAATATGTCAACCACTAAATGCGGTTCCTTTGATAATAATAGACTTTTATCCAAAATCATTGTAATAAATTACGATCTTTCAAGGCTTAAATTTCTTTACAAAAGTTCCCTCTAAAGACAATTCTGTGATCCCATATCTTCCAAGTCTTAGACATTACATGTGACATAGGGTGATAAGGTGCCACTAATCAGTGGTGGTCCACCGGAGTAGTTCCATCCTCATACACTCCCTCCCCCAAGAAATCAATCCAAAAAAAAGGGTTTGCATCTTAACATAAGCACATTATGTTTTTTAACCTCAAAATTCATTCGGATAGTAAAACATCAGAGTAAATGCTGTTAACCGTATTAATATAAATATCAGTGATAAATTTGCAGCAAACTCGATACAAATTTCGAGTTCGGAGACTCGGTTTAACATCAATGCATAGTTTTTTTTTTCGAGTTTTTAATCGCATCGTGCAAAGTGCTTAATAGTTTTTCTTTTTGGATAAAAACAATATGAATTTATATGCGTGAAATCAAAACAATACTTTGGAAAACAAATTTACAGAAACGAAAAGTCAGATATAAACACAATAGGCATAAGACCTTCCACAATTGATTCTACATTCGTAATCAATCTGAGCAAAAGACGCCTATATTAACTATATCCTATGGTGTATAACATGATAATGGAAACAGGAAGCATAGAATGAGAAATACCAGTGCGAGGAGGAGATTTCTGGGACTGTGAAACCGATCCCAGTCTCTTTCCTTTGCGAAATCGGCCATTTTTTTCTTCAACTCCAGCAAGCTGACATCCTCTTCTCTGTCTTCGAGATTACTCATCTCTCCGGTTGATCTTTTTCTCGGATTCTAGTTGCTCCGCCAGGTCCACCGCCCAACGCCGCCGAATGGTACAGAGGGAGTGAGAGGAATAAAAGGTGACTAAAAGGGAAGGGTCTGAATAAAAGCTTTTTGCATAAGAAAAGTGACCGAGATTCGGTTACCGGATACAGCCGGTTGCCCTCAAAACGTGTCAATCTTACCAACCCAAAGGCCCGCTCATTTTGTTACCAAAACCTTTATTTTATATGCATTTAGTTTAGGTTAATTATATATTTACAAAAAATGTAATAATGAAAAATCTAAGAAATTGATTAAATGTTTGAACAATTTTTGCAATAAATAAGTTTTTAAACATTTCAAAGCATGTTAAATAATTTTTTGAATTTTTTAAAACTTGTTAGATACTTTATTATAACCTATGAAACTGGTTAATGTGGTAAAATAATGTAAGTACATTTTTGGTATATTTGTTTCATTTTATAAATACAAATACTTTTTGGTTCAAAAATATTTAGGGATTTAATTATTCAAAATATGAAAATACATTGGTTTTTTCTATTATTTTATCATGCTAACAAGTTGTATAGGTCATAAGAATGTATCTAACATATTTTAAAAAGTCCAAGAAGTTATTTAACAGATTTTGAAATGTTCAAGAACTTATTTGTTCCAAAAACTTGTTCAATAATTTAATTATTTCAAATACTAAAGTCTATTGAGTTTTTTAGACTTTTCCCTAAAATAATCAATTTTCAGGATTAGTTTACCTTCTAGCCATTTTCTCTCTACATCTAATAAAATAGTCATAGGTTCGCAAAACTCACATCTATAATTGTGGATCCAGCTAAAAGACAAAAAAAATTACACTTTTTATCCCTGCAATAGTTAAAGAGTCAATATCCGTAATGCTTTTAGGAAGGAGCACTACATGTCAACGTGAATGAAAAAAAGGTTCACAAACATGTACACTTTCTTTTTCAAAATAGTGGGACCCAATCCAATTAAATAACAGAAAATTATTATATGGACCATTTCATGATTGAGTGTAAAAGATTTATAAAATACTAGTTATGTATCTGTTCCAGTGCAGCAGAATGTAAGACTAACCATCTTTGGTTAGATCGAGGTTAAAAGCTTATCCCTGACACTTAAATCAGAAAACAACTATGGACAAAAAAACGATTAAACTAATTTACTATAAGTGAAAGACATGTTACTTTTTGTTAATTTTTATGCATAATAAGCAGGGACGACCCTGATAATAACAGACTTGTATATAATAAATCAAAAGACGATGCTTTGTTATAAAAACAATTTATAACAAGATACCGTAGCACTTGTTCAAATAGAAGCATTCACGATCGATGACAAGTTAAAATACCATATAATAAACAACATACTAAAAATGAATCGTGCCAAATTAAATATTATATATTATTTTAATAAATACTAGTGTTCGACATCGCGCATTGCGCCATGATCAAAATTCAATTTAAGAAAAAATGTAAAAGTTTTGACCTGAGTGGAAGTACGATGTGTCTGAAAACTCGGGATCGTATTTATATTTATAGCGCCTCGTCCAATACCGTAAATCATGATTTAGAGAATACTAACATCAGATGGAAGTACGTCATTAAGTAAACACTTTCATTCTATGTATATATAAATGATATAGTAGACACTTAAACTACATTTGTTACTATAGGTACTGCAATAATCACAACTTTTATTAAAAAAAAGAATATATCATTTGCATTTGTTTTGCACAAATATTTTTACTAATTGGTTGGTTTTGATTTCAACCATAGTTATAGATTTCAAAACTCCATCACGCTTTTATATATCTATCATCTTCTTCCAAACTATCATCTTTCTACCACTGTAGGACAATCAAGAATTCATCATAATTCACCATTTGGTAAATATTTGATTCTCATTGTGTCATGTCATCATCTTAAGGTTTTTTACTTTTGTTATCAATGTGAGACAATCAAGAATTCACCACAATTCACCATTTGATAAATATTTGATTCTCGTTGTGCATGTCATCATCTTAAAGTTTTCCTTTCTCTCTCTCTCTCTCTCTCTCTCTCTCTATATATATATATATAGAGGAGCGTTCAAATGAAAACTTGACCCATTTGTGTAAACCGTGTAAACCAATCTCATCCGTCCATTTTCTTGATCAATGGCCTAGATTATATTATTTTATTTTAGGAAATTAAAAATTAAAAAATAATTAATATTCATTTTATTTAAGAAAAAA